GATGGACGGCTGGCCGGCCGGCCAGCCGAGTTACTACCTCCATCCTGCACCCTGGGCTACGGACGAGTGTCCTGCACGAAACGTAAAACACGGTGTTATGGCGGTGAAAGGCACGCTGGCTGCGCCGAGACGTCTCGCGGAACAAATTTGTTCTCAGCTCGGCAAGAACAGATTTTAGTGTGTGAAAACGGCGTTGTGTGATTGACGGCAGTCAACTGTTTGTCGGCAACCGTTTCTTCCCGTGTCAAATCGTTGTTTTATATCGGCCCGTGTCGACCACTGCACAGCAGCTGTCACGACAAGCAAAACATCTTCGGGTGGCATCGCAGCAAATTACCGAAATTAATTTATTTTTCTAACAATCACGCCTGGTCGAAAAAATTACCTCCTCTCCGGTTCGTTTCGTTTCGGTTCGGTTTGGTGAGGTGAGGTCGTATAGGGCGGAGTGACGAAATCAAACGAACCACCCGTTCTCGTTCAAGCACTACAGTATACCCTTTTCCGGTTTAGCTCGATCCAAATTAATAATTAATGGCGTCCATATTGCGAACGTCCCCGAGCATCGAGCCAGCGGCATCGTCGCTAAGTAAAGATTTTTCTTCCTCTTATTTCAAGGGATTAAGGCAATTTTCTCTTATGAACCACTACTTCCCTTGAATAAAGAATTCACACCATGTTGCGTGAGTGAAACTACCTGGGAAACGTCGCAAACTATCTGATCTGAACTGCGAACAGTGTGGGGTTCATGTTATAATGTGCGAAACAAACCGCGATGTTCCCTGATGCTCCCCAATTCGAGTGCTTCACTGCTGCAACACTACTTCAATCAGCCTATCATTCATTGCAAACCATGATACGATGTATTTATACGTTTTACACCACCCTTCTTTATCTGGCACCTTAATGAAATTTTTACGCTATAAACATGGGAGTAAACAAATCTTTAATTCCTCTATTCCCTGATATATTAGAAACTTGAATCTGTTTATAATCTGATCAGTTTGCTGTCATTGTTAGAGCATTTCCATTGGAGTTTTACTTTCCGAAAGTTCACACAGCCCAAAAACCGTAAAGCGCGATTGATTAGAGGCAGTGTAGGTTCATGGTCGAAACTTAACACCCTTAATGCAAGTTGCAGTCGAAATACGCTCTCGTTCACATTGTGCTGTGGATCTGAATCTAAACAACGGAATTGAGTTTAAAAGCATGGAGAGGTCCAACCTCCTTTGTCATCATTATCTCGCAGGTCACCGAATTTCTCACACTACATAACAGTCGTTTACGGCAAGTACGCGCCTCTCTACCTCGCCCTGACACTCGATCCGTCCCGCTGTTCGTCTCGACCCAATCTTTAAAGCGTTAACGGGAGGCTAGTTTTCCGCAGAGGTGATAACCGTCATTAACAGCTCTGTGCTAATTTGACAATTTATGCGAAGTTGTTGCGCTATGCTTTGCATAATCAACTTACGATGAAACGGTGGTCGACGACGACAGCAACGGCGACAACTGCCGACGATCACTTTAATGGCCAATCAATTAAAGCCCGTGAAAATTACCTGTTATCCTTGGTTGCTGAATGACAGACGCGGGCAATGCACGCTCGGCACGCCTGTGATTACTGTAGTGTAGCAATTACGCAACAACAGCAGCGCATGCACATGGCATGATTACGGTCTCTCGACTGGCTTCGTTTTCTTCCTTTCCATCGTCGTCGTCGTCGTCGTCGTCGTCGTCAATGATCTTGATGATGGTCGTCACCTGCTTGCTGTGCTCTTGACGGATTACTGTAAGTGGCTGCTCGATAATGAGTCGCTTATCCAGCGACGGACGTGTTCGCCTCGGCTGCGGCGGTGATTGATTGATTCATTAAATACTGTTTGGAAACAAGGATCAACAAAGCGATGAAGTTTGCACAAACACTTAGCGAATGAACTGGCAGATGCGCTTTCCCTTGGGTCCATTGAACGCTTTGGGTACTCAAAGCAGGCTGCCCGACGCCTCCATTGACACCTCGGCGGGTTTAGCGTTGGCCAGTCTCGAGCAAATTGTTACCTCAAATAATGGGCACATGCCCAGCCCAAGAAAGCTGCCCTAATCGAAATTGCGCGTCCGCGCTGCCGGGGGCACCGTTGACCGTTCGTCGTCTGCCCCCGGCGCTGGTCACAATAACCGGTGAACGCTCGCGACTTGATCGACCATGACCATGTTCAGCATTCTCTCATTACCGTAATCCGCTTGTGATAATCCGCTTATGAGGTGCGAACGCGAGATATTCGATCGGTAGCATCGGACAGTGTTCTCAATCAACGCTCGTAGAGGCTGTCTGTCATCGTGGTTATGCTATAAGCCACTACCACATGCCACGCCCGTTTATCAGCTCCGCAAGAGGAGCAGGGACACCGAGGACGTGAGTGACGACGATGACGCGTGTAGCGTCATTTGGCGAGTTCGGCGACACAGAAGACTCAACGAATGACACTCGAGCGACAACGACCACCTTGACAGAAGTTATTAGGTCGTGTCGCAGCTTCCAAAACCGGCCCGCAAACCATGCAGTCATCAATTGTGACACCTTACCAAACTCCGTGACTCATATGGGTTTCAGTCTGACACTAATGTGCGTGAATTGTGGGAATTTCCCAACGACGCGCATTTTTCAGTAACAACCAGCAAACAACAAAATACCCTGACAACTGAGGGTCAGACATCTGCATACTTAATACATTTATCGATACGGCTGTGACAAGAGACCTGGCTGATCATAAATTGACGTCTAAACTGCGGATGTTGTACCATTCTTTGGGAAGGAGGGGTCTCCTCATCGAAGTCGGCATGTCAAATTCTGTTCTCATTATTTCGATTCTCCTGATTCGACAAACAGAATTAGTTACATGTTTCTTTAGAAAGCCAAGCATGCGTACCTTTGGTAGCTGTATCCAGTTTTCAGACAATATGCTAGTTAGAAGGTAATATCATAACTGCCCACGTCTGACCTGTCATAGGAACTTTCTGGATAGCAATCATTAAGGAAATGTTTCCATTTTCGGGCGGAGGGTTCTGCCATGGAGGAAGGGCGTTGATGTTTTACCGGCCAAAGTTTAGTCCTCAGTTTTGTGTGTCCTCATTGTTGTTTCTTGAACGGTGCCCTGCGTAATAGCTTTCTGAGGTTAATCCACTGTGACAAGTGCATCCAAAATATTGTAGTTTTTAGCGTCTGATTTTTAGTCTCCGGCGAGTTCTTCTATCGTTCAAAAAGAAAAGGAAAAGCGTAACTGCTCATACTGTATGTGCCTACAACTCTGGAGTGAAAGAATACGGTTTAAGAGCTTTGATGACACCTCATGTGCAGTGTATCATTATGTTAATATCCGTCACTTTCGCTTCTACGTCAGTAGTTCAAAGGGCATTTTTCATTTCGGTCGGATTCGTTTCTGGAAAATGCTGAAATCGTTTTGCAGATCAGTGGGTAAGAGACCCAGTTGAGAGTTAGTTTCTCACACAAACACTTGGGAAGCATGCAACGTTTATTACGAATCTGCCAGAGGCAGAGGTACTACAATATTTTATTGCCTTGGCTATCATGGTCTTACAAATGCTTCCAGTCAGAAAGGTAAAACAGCTAACAGCAAATATTTGCTCAACCAACTGGCTGAAAACCCCGCGGAGATCAAGAATGATCCGAGGCAGGTGGCTGGACGGTCTCTGCTAAAGACTCGGATCATTTTCTACTGTAGTTCAATCGCTAACGCAGGACGAGAAACGTTGGAGACACTGTATGCTGCTGTCATCTTCTCGACAGAGAGGATAAGCGGTCATCGAAACTGAATGACTGGCGATTTCGGTCTGGTCTTTCGACGTATTTGCATGCTTTCTGATAAAAAGCCGAATCGCCTTGAAAAATACGGACCCGTTTCTCTTCCTAATTATTATATGAACCTAAAGCACGGACTCTGCCAAACGAAGATATAAGCAGCCTTTAAGCTAGGACCCGTTATATCAGGTGCTACCGCCAGTTGTCGGGCTATGACTGTATTTTTCTAACCCAAACAAGGCTAAATATTCTAAAATAGCAAGCAGAGAAAAAGAAATTCGGCTCTGCTTGCCGAGATTAAATAGTCATGTGAGAAAAATTTAAATTTGTCAGTTTTGTCCACACTTACATGAATTTGGCACCACTTTTCATGGAGCTTGTGGTAACCATGAACCACGCTGATCTCCATGCGCTGCCATCAACCACGACCGCTATACTTTTTCGAA